CATGCGTGAAGTTTGTGTGTTTCACGCAGCCGAATTTTCATACTGCTGTGTATTTCACGCAGTTGAAGTTTCATACTACTGTGTATTTCACGCAGTTGAAGTTTGTATTTTTATACATTTGTGTGCTTCACGCAGTTGTATTTTGATACACATGTGTGTTTCACGCAGTTGCATTTTGATACGCCTGTGTGTTTCACGCAGTTGTATTTTTATACATCAGGATTGCGTTTTTCTACTTCCTAGGCCTTATACAAGATAAATTGAATTAATTTTTTTTGGCATTTTCGTTTTTCGCGATTATCTCGGAAACTATGAGAGATAGAGCCTTAAAACCAAATTTGGGTTCCCTATAAGCATGTGGATGGCTCAGAATTGCGTTTTTCCACTTCCTAGGCCCTATACAAGATGAATTAAATTAATTTTTTTTGGCACTTTCGTTTTTCGCGATTATCTCGGAAACTATGAGAGATAGAGCCTTAAAACCTATTCCATTCGATTCCTGAGGAAATTTGGGTTCCGTATAGGCAGATGGACGGCTCAGAATTGCGTTTTTCCACTTCCTACACCCTATACAAGATGAATTAAATTAATTTTTTTTGGCACTTTCGTTTTTCGCGATTATCTCGGAAACTATGAGAGATAGAGCCTTAAAACCTATTCCATTCGATTCCTGAGGAAATTTGGGTTCCGTATAGGCAGATGGACGGCTCAGAATTGCGTTTTTCCACTTCCTACACCCTATACAAGATGAATTAAATTAATTTTTTTTGGCATTTTCGTTTTTCGCGATTATCTCGGAAACTATGAGAGATAGAGCCTTAAAACCAAATTTGGGTCCCCTATAGGTAAGTGCACGACTCAGAATTGCGTTTTTCCACTTCCTAGGCCTTATACAAGATGAATTAAATTAATTTTTTTTGGCACTTTCGTTTTTCGCGATTATCTCGGAAACTATGAGATCCGATCAATTAGCCCCTCATGTATAGATATTCCAAATTTTTATTTTTTTCCTCATTGAAGTAGTTTTGAAGAAAATTGCGAGCTAATAAAAAATATTTGCTAGTTAGGACTTTTTTTAAAATAAATTTTTGAAAAATTTCCCCTGAAAAAAAAGGCGTTATCCCCCCTACTTCATTATTTCCAAAAAATTTTATCACCAATCGGTAGCAAATTGTTTGAAGATTTTTGCGAGTTAAGAAAAAATCGTCAATGCACTCCTATTATTGTGTAAATTAACAATTCCAATTTCAACTGAAAACCAGAGTTGATGACCAGAGTTTGTAGCAGAGATGTCAGACAAGATATGAATGTTTTTTTTGGCTCAAATGAAAGAGCGGGTCGAGAAATGGCGTGCAGAAGTCTTTAAAGATGACAAATCTCTCTAAAGATGATGTCTGTTTTCAATTGAAAAGCGCAATTGTGACAACATTTTCCAGTGGGTTCTAGGAGTCTCCCCTGGTTCAACACCATCTTTAGAGGTCCTAGCACGCCATTTCTCGACCCGCTCTTTCGTTTGAGCTCAAAAAAACATTCATATCTTGTCTGACATCTTTGCTACAAACTCCGGTCTTCAACGTGGGCCTTCAATTGAAGGCCCGAGTTGTAGACACGAGTTTGTAGCAGCAATGTCAGACAAGATATGAATGTTTTTTTCGGCTCAAATGAAAGAGCGGGTCGAGAAATGGCTTGCTAGGGCCTCTAAAGATGGTTTTGAACCAGGGGAGACTCCTAAAAGCGCAATTGAAAACAGACATCATCTTTAGAGACAATTGTCATCTTTAAAGACTTCTGCACGCCATTTTTCGAGCCGCTCTTTCATTTGACCCAAAAAAAATGGCGAATAGTCACGGCCATTTATTTTCTCAAGTGATATTCACGAGAAAAACTGGGGCAAAGTCCTAAATTCTTCACAAATGATCAAATACTAAGTGATTTTTATCATTCAACCTATAATGAATTGATAATGAATGGCTCATTTCAGTGTTCAGTGAGTCAAAAAAAAACGTCGAGAGTATTCGTCGCAGACTTGACCTTCCCGAATCCACGTGACGTCAGTGAGAGGTCGTTCTGGGTCGTTCAATGGAGCTCAGCTAACCTAACCTGTTCTATTCTGAATGAATGAATTTTCTCAATTGAACGTTTATGAAAAGAAATAGGTCAAGGCCCTAAATTCTTCACAAATGATCAATAATTCATTATTCTCCCCTGTAAATTTATAACTAATGAATAATATTATGAATTGATGATTAATAGAAAATTCTGATGAATTTTAACACAAGTGTTAAAATTCATCAGAATTATGCAAATGCAAATAAATAACTTATATAATGTTCAATTCGTCGTATTTCACGAAATACACTATTAATTACCGAAATAAATACATAAAATTATTACAATACATTGCACACGTGCCAATGCTCCTAAACTCATGTAGAGGCTTACATAAGTCATCACAAGCCCAAGCCATTAATTAATTCTTCCGTCGCGTATAATCAAAAGTGATGAATGATTAATGCTTTTTGTCATGAAGTTCATAATTAATGCATAACAATCTGATAATACTGCATTTCAATCCACTGCAAAGCAACAATCACCGATTGCCATTCATACATTTATTCCCTCAATCTTTTATACTTTGAAAGAAGGCAAACTCCTTTGTCAACTCCACTATCTCTCACTGGTCGAAGAATTTCTATCTGTAAAATTCCATACATGAGCTTCCACGTGTGCATCTCTAACATTGCACACGTGCCAATACTCCGAATATCAAGTAATCTTACGTAAGTCATCGAAAGCCCGAAGCGTTAATGAATTGTTCAATCGCATGTGACAAAAATGATGAATGATTAATGCTTCTTATTATCAAGTTCATAATTAAGGGATAGCAAATAGATAATTAATGCTACACTTCTATCAATTATAAAGCGGCAATAACACATTTCCATTCACGTATTTAAATATTCTCTCAACCATTTATAGTTTGAAACAAGACAGACTTGGTTTATCACCTTTGTCAATTCCCTTGTCTCCTACACATGACCGAAGAATTCCTATCTTCAATATTGTACGCATGTAAATGTTCCCAATATCGAGTAGAGTCTTACATAAGTCATCGAAAATCCAAACCATGAATGCGATTCCCCATTGAGCGGAGTGACAAATGATCAATGATTAATGATTCAGAGCATTTAGTCAATAAAAAGTGGATAATAAATTTTCAATTAATGATGCATTGCGATAAATTTCAACACAACACTCGCGCATTTCCATTCACTGATTCATTTCCTCAACCATTTGCACTTTGAAATAAAACAAACTGCTTATATGTTGTGTCAATCCCCTACCCCAACAGTGGACACGTGCCAATGCTCCCAAAGTGCAAAACAGTCTTACATAAATCATCAAACTATAAATGGTTGAGAGAATATTTAAATACGTGAATGGAAATGTGTTATTGCCGCTTTATAATTGATAGAAATGTAGCATTAATTATCTATTTGCTATCCCTTAATTATGAACTTGATAATAAGAAGCATTAATCATTCATCAAACCCAAATCCAAATCATTAATTAATTTTTCAAATGCGTGTAATTAAAAATGAAAAATGATGAATTATTAATGATTCTCATCATTAAATTCATAATATATCAATAATAAATTGTTAATTAATGTTGAATCTTGATGAATTTCAACACAAAACTCACACAAGTCATCATAAACCCAAATCATAAATAAATTCCTCAATTGCGTGCAATTAAAAACCAAAAATACTCAAAAATTAACCATTCTCATCATTAAATTAATAACAAATCGATAATAAATTATTAATAAATAACGAATCTTGATGAAATTCAACCCAAAACGCCCATTTCCATCAACTCATTCATTCCTTCCCTAATTTCACTTCAAAATAAAACACTGTTTATTTCCTGTATCAACCCCCCACCCCAGACAGTGGACACGCGCCAATGCTCCCCAAGTCCAGTATTCTTAGATAACTCATCACAAACCCACACCACCAACGAATTCCTCAATTGTGTACAATAATGCCAATTAAACCTCACGAATCCGTCCCACTCATACCCTCAAGTTCAACATCAATTGAATGCTCCCAATGAAAAGTTCAATGTCAAGGTCTCAAAGTTCAACCCTGAGACCTACCCCAAACCCCCCCGAATAATGTATTTTTGTTAAACTCACCGCCTGCGCCCAGCTCGGAAACTTGAATTCACTGACGACAAGCCTGTGCGTATGCAAAACCCCATCAACAACTTTTCTGTCAATGACATCAGTTCCCAGAACAGCAGTGTTCATGGGGTTCGGGTATTTGCGAAGTGCAGCCTGGGCCACTGTCTCCCACGGATGACTAAACCACAAAAATCAAAATTTCCGTCTCAATTTGGCCATCAGAAACGAAAAAACTCATTATCTTCGAGGTTAAGAACCCAAAGGGCCTGAAATCGAGGCTAAAACTCACTTGAAAACGTGCTCGTACGTCCAGATCTTCATGCTCGGTGTTGATTGAAATTTTTCGTTAGTTTCACTGACTCAACCTGAAATTTTCACTGATAATAACCAAGATATTAGCCACAAAACTGCTCTGTACGTCAAGTCGTCTTGGGAAAGCTGATGTAAGAGAGCAAGGACCAGATCTCGTGGTAACTCGGCAGTAATGCAGTCCCTCTGTCGGTCATTGCCTGCACAGCGATGACGAAATCGTCGATAAGTCAGGGGAAAACACCAGTAAACACTCACACATGTTTAAGCTCTCGTACCCACACCCAGTCGTGTCCATGAGGGACTGATTAGTCAGGAGGTGGTGAGATGGTAGTGACACCGGAATTGCCCGTGACGAGGAGCGTGTCATAAAATGATTGGGAATATCATCGACGTTACAACTTCATTCGCTTGAGTTCAATCGAATTGATTTTAATCCAGAGATGATGTCATGATGAATTTGGTGGGTTATTCTGCGTCGTTGAGTTAGTCACCATGGGCTCCAGGTTGAGGTAATATTTTGCAATCATATGTTCATGATAACAAGGCTTTCACCTGATGTTTCGTCATTTTTTTGCAGACTATTCTATTTTTTTATGGGTGAGAGGTGGCGGGGGGTATTAAAACTCGAATTTCGTCAGGGTTTGGGACGAGTTTTGTTGATATCTTGGGTGTCTGGTTGTGTTTGCTGTCGGCTGGTTGTTTGGGGGGCTCAGGAGGGGAGTGACAGTGGAGAGAACTCATTTTTTATGAGGTTTATCTACCTTTTTTACTCTTTGTCGTTCCAGGGAGAATGTCAAACATTTGTTCGAGTGCTTCTGCGAAGTGGCTGCTCCGGTGGGCGAGAAGGCCGCCTGGATTCTCCAGAGGTATCCTGATAGCTTCGGGGATCAGGAGCTACTGAAGTCGGTGCCGAAATTCGCGTATCCATGTGAATTCGAAAAGTAGGTGCTGCATTTGGATGATGTGATGACGAGGGGTTTTTTCGTTGGGGGTGTTGCTCGGAAATATCAAGAGAGTTATGTTCTCTTATATTTTTTTGGATGATTAGGCAGTTGTGAGATGATTCGATGATTGACAAAACGTAAAACGTTGATTTTTTAACTGTTGGAGTCAATATTCAGCGTGTTGGGACTTTATTCATCTCCAATGGATTATTTTTAAAGAAAATGTTGGAATTTTCAACTAAAATAATCAATGATTTTTCGTATTATCAACATGATCAAACATGTGAGAATTATTATCTCCTGTTATCTTAGAAACTTTAAAGGGAATGTCAACAGATCTTTTATTGGAAATTTAATTTTTTCATCAGTTTTCGAAATAATCAAATAATTTAAGAAGATGAGAAATCAACTCTTCTGAAATATTGAAGATTTGTTTTTTGCAATTATCCGTTTATCCAATTATTGTGCTATTAAAAAATTATGAGTTATTTTCCTTATTATTAATACAATCGAACATTCAATAAAATATGAGAGGCATTATATCATTTTACCTAAAAACATTAAAGGGAGACGCCAGCAGATCTTTTATTGGAAATTTAATTTGCATAAAACCGATTCTTCTCCTTAACCATCAGTTTTCATAACAATTAAATAATTTCTAAAGATAAAAAATAATTCTTCTGTAATATAAACGATTTCTTTTATCAATTATTCATTCATCTCATCTGCAGCTGATCAAATTTTAAAAAACTCCCCGACTTTCCTCATTATCAATACAGTAAAAAAATCACCAAAATGTGAAAAAATATTCACTCTAATTTTTCCTCAACAGTTCAATGGTCCAGCACTTCTCCTTCGTCCTAACGAGTATTGATTCGAAGTGGACATTCGGTTTCTGCAGGCATGACCCTAAAACTGAGACTGCTCTGGTAGTGCTCAGCTCGCTCCCTTGGCACGAGATGTTCTACAAATTACTGAATCATATAGCGACATTGACATCGAGTTCAAACAGCGGAGACCTCTGGAAATTCCTCGGTGATGTTCACGCCAGTAATGTCCCAATGCCAGGAACATCAGTGACGATTCCCCTGCCTGATCCCAATGTTACCTACGTCTGCCAAAGCCCCAAGCAATTCCAATTGCCCAGTATACCAGAGAATCGTAATTTAACTGAGTACTACAGTGCTGTTGATGCCCACAATATGATGATTATTTTCGCATCGATGCTGTACGAGAGGAGAATAATATTCACGTCTAAGAGATTGTCGAGGCTGAGTGCGTGTGTGCAGGCCTGCAATGCCTTGATATATCCCATGATTTGGCAGCATATTTATATACCAGTTCTACCACTTGCTCTAATGGATTATCTATTAGCACCCATGCCGTTCTTGATCGGTGTGCCCACTCCAATTCTTCAGGTAGTTAATTAATTTCAGTCAGTGAATTTTTTTGAGATTTAGACAGTGGAAAATACAAGGAAATAACTTCTCTTTATGTATTAAATCATCTTGGAAACAAGTAATTTTAGGAGGAAATGTGAGAGGTTTTTTGGTGAATATTAGATTTTCTTCGGAGCAAAATAATCTTACCTTTTTAAAAATATGTTGACATGTCATTAATTTATTCAGGGAATTAGAGTGTTTTTTTCTCATTCAATAGACTTTTCGTAATTGATTCAGACTGAATCTAATTGATGAGTTTGTTCCTGAGAAATGAATATTTAAGAAAAATCGTCTCTTGTTCAAATTTTTTCAAATCGTTTTTTTTATTATCTTCAAAACGAGTGGTTTTAGGGGAAAATTTCGGGAGAGATTTCTCTGGAATCTATTCAAGATCTTCTCCAATCTTATAATTTCTTGGAGATTGCTTCATTTAATTAATATTTCAATTAATTAATTAATCGATTAATTGACCAATTAAGTCATTCAATGATTAATTGTTCATTCATCTCGAGAATAAGTAATTTTACGAAGAAATGTGAGAAAACTTTCTTTGTTAGAACATTTCAACAACTAAAAAAATGTAAAAAGCTTCCTCTTTTGAAATATGTTAAAAATTTCCTTTTTTTGTGGAGAATTGAATTCCCGAGAACGAATTTCTCTTGACATTTCCGTGACATTCTCTAATGTCATAGTTAAAAAATATAAAAAATTGCTCTTTATTACATTGCAGAGGGTTCAAAAGGGTGATTTAGGTGATGTGGTGATTCTCGATGCTGACAGTAATTCCATAGAATCTCCATTCCAGGACCTAGAGTCCTTGCCTCAGGACGTGGTAAGCAAAAATGACTTCGTAAAAATTAGAATCACCATTTAAATGTAACGAGTCACTCTGGAATTGAGGTTTTTATGTGGCTTTCAGGTCACGAATTTGAGAAAAGCATTGCGTAACAGGCCAGCACTTCTGGGCGACGGTGTCTCAAGAGCATTTTTACGTGCCTTGGTACAGCTGACAGCTGGCTACAGAGAAGCGCTGACACTTCAACAGGGTGAACGTATTACCTTCGATCAAAATGCATTCGTCGAGAGCAGGCCCTACTCCATGCAGCCGTTTCTAAGAAAAATGCTGGAGTTACAAATTTTTCAGCAAGTGAGATAATACTCTCTAACGATTTCCCCTCTTTAATGAATCGATTCATCAACCCACTCAAATGAATTTTCTTGATTCAAATCCGAAGAAAATTATACTTTTTTTGTTTTATAAAAATAATTGCAATAGCGTCAAAAAAATTAACAAGACATTAACTTTGAGAAGAAAAAATTCAATCGATAAATCCAAAGGAATTCTAAATTTTTTAGAAGTAGGAAGACGGGAAGTCCTCGACTTACTTGAATTTTCAGTCAACACATAAATATTCAGTACCAAATAACGCAGATTAAAAAAAAATTGTTTCCATTAAATTGTGATTTTTAAATTAAAAAATTCTTTAAAATTTCAGTTGAACTAGCTCTTGATAAAAATTTTCATTCCAATTGAATTCCAAAGATAAAAATTAGAGATATTCCGGTTATTTGACTATGTATGATCGATAATCATAGTGATTTTTTTAGTCTATTCCTCAACCAACAACTGGATTGCTATTTAATAGAATCTATGATTATAATCTTCTATTCTGTCCTGTTCTATTCTAATCTAATGAGAGATGCTATAGAAATTATCAATGAACTAGAACATGTGCGCTTTACTCCATCCATAATATCCATAACACAATTTCCTAAAAATTAAGAAAATACAAAAAAATCAGTAATTTTCTTTTTAACCGCAATATTGATTGATTCTTACATTTAATTGAATTCACCTCTCAGTTTATAGAGGAAAGACTGCACATGCTCAACTCAGGTCTCGGTTTCTCGGATGAATTTGAAATGGAGGCGTGTACTTATTCGGACAAATCGAGTAGTAAATTAATGCAGCAATATCGTGAATGGACGTACGCAATGAGAAAGGAGGGCTCGGCATTCTTCCGGAGTGTCAAGGACAAAGCCAATCCCGCTGTTAAATACGCTGTCAAGTCGGTTAAGGATAAGGGTAAAGATATGAAAACTGTGTACAAGGGATTGAAATGGAAAGGTATCATTATCATAAGCTGGATCAATTGTCTGGGAGTTTGAGCATTGCGTCATACGTTGATTTTTTAATTTTTAGGTCGTTCGAGGGGCAGTGAAAATAGCATGCGCTTCCATCAGCCTCGATCCGCACCGAGCTCACCCACACTGGATAGGCGGACTAGTATGTTTGGAAGTGGTTCTAAATCACCCAGTGGGTTCACAGCCACTACCAGCTACAGGAAGGAACTCAGGATCCGTAATAGTAATGTTCCTGATACAAGGTAAATTTAGGGGGAGGATTAGACGTCATTTTATCTTGGGAAATTAATCCCAAATATATTAATTCTGGTCGAAGAATTCTCAAAAAAACAATACTAGTAAAAATGATCCTAAAAGTAAAATGTAAACAAATACAGTTCGACGTAGATGAATATAAAAATATGTACATGATTTAATTAATGATAAATGTTTTTTTATCAAAATACACATAAACATAAAGAAAAGAAAGATAAAAAACAAATGATTTTCTCATTTCCAAAAGCAATGAAAATGTTCTTACCACGAATTGCATAAATGTGAGACGATCAGAGTTATTGATTTATAAAGTAATTCTTTTCTCAGCATCAATTTTATTTAACAAGAGTAGGATTATTTTGTCCAGAATCTACTTTGAGGCAATATAACTCTTTTTACCTTTTTCTAAATATTAATAATTCATTGAAATTAATCCCGAATATATTAAGAATTCTCAACAAAAAAATCCTGGTAAAAATGATCGTAAAAATAAAATTTTAGGATCGACGTATTTAATTCTTTTCGATGACGTTACAATCGTAGAAAAACATAATTTGTCTCTCAGGATCAAATAGAGGTGAATTATTTCGTCTGAAGCCTTCTTGGGGGAAAAGTAACTCCTGTCTTTTTTTAAACATTACTAACGCATAGAAATATTCATGAAAGAGGTCATGTTTTTTTAATAGAAAATCCACTATTTTAATTAATTTAGACTGAATTTAATTCACGGATTTATGTCCAAATGCTGAATATTTCAGGACAAAAAAGTTGAAAATATCTATTTTAGTCCATCGTCTCTTCTTTACATTTTCGGAAATAATTTCTGATATTTGAAATTTCGGATTTGATTTATTTAGCAGGAAGCAATACTCACCGTTGAGTCCAGGCTCCCCAGAGGAGCCAGACTCACCCCCAGAGCGCTTGAACATAGATCTCATGAATGAACTGCAAGACGTTATCTTCCCGAATACTCCACCTGTCGACAGAACCGTAAGTAACTTCCCGAACCCCCTCTCATTGATCACTGTTTTTTTTTCATCATCTCGATGGCTTTCTTTATCGTGCAAAGTTTACCCAGTACATGCAACACGTTTTCTTAATTCTTCAATTCTCTGTTCTNTTTTTTTTTTTTTTTTTTTTTTTTTTTTTTTTTTTTTTTTTTTTTTTTTTTTTTTTTTTTTTTTTTTTTTTTTTTTTTTTTTTTTTTTTTTTTTTTTTTTTTTTTTTTTTTTTTTTTTTTTTTTTTTTTTTTTTTTTTTTTTTTTTTTTTTTTTTTTTTTTTTTTTTTTTTTTTTTTTTTTTTTTTTTTTTTTTTTTTTTTTTTTTTTTTTTTTTTTTTTTTTTTTTTTTTTTTTTTTTTTTTTTTTTTTTTTTTTTTTTTTTTTTTTTTTTTTTTTTTTTTTTTTTTTTTTTTTTTTTTTTTTTTTTTTTTTTTTTTTTTTTTTTTTTTTTTTTTTTTTTTTTTTTTTTTTTTTTTTTTTTTTTTTTTTTTTTTTTTTTTTTTTTTTTTTTTTTTTTTTTTTTTTTTTTTTCATTTTTAATGAGTTAGTTACAGAGCTGGGTATCATCGTAAAGACGCGTAAAGGTATCAGTTCAATGAACTATTCGTTTCACACAGTATTTTTACGACATAAACTGTTTGAGTATTCCGTTGATTACATTTGAACATTTTGAAGTGACAACTAGTAATGGATATTATTTGGGCGAATAAATAAGATTAATTCCCTTTTATTTCTGAAACTGGAGTGAATGCTATTCATATTTGAGTTGATTCTGTCAGAATAAGAAATGAAATAGTATTGGTTTTTTATTGCACTGTGACAATTATTTGTGGAAAACGAATGAATAAATTATGTAAAATATAAATATTTTCTCCACACGATAACATTTTTTGGAAATTTTCATCAAGTACAAAAAACAAAAGTACAATTTTTCGAATGCACCGTAACAGTTCCACTGAAATTTCAAAGAATTTCGTAATTGAAAATTCCCAGTTCGATAAAACAATTGATGGAAACTATAAATTTCCGTGAAGTTATTTCATGTAAATTAACACAAATAAATTAGTTAACAATTCAGCGTAATCTGGCACTGGAAATTCATGTTTTTAGTGAAAATTCAAAGAAGTTGAAGAAATCTCGGTATTTTTTTGCTCAAAAATTTACTATTCCATTGAACTTTCAGTAGAATTTGAAAATTCATTATTTCTCTTCCTCCCTAGGTCGATTTTAATGTAATTCTTCTAGAAATTACAACTAAATTTTCAGACGAAATTAAATTATTTTTCTGACAATAAAATGTTCATGATATTTCTGAATTCTTTACGAAATTCATTCATTGTTTCCAATGCTCTTCAACTATCCAAAAAATACTGTTGTGATTTAACGATTGTGCAATCAAATTATTCTGCATCAACCATTCAGTTACAATTTCATCCCCCCCATGTGATGACTAAAATATCGATAATGAATTGTGAAAGTAACTCAAGCACTATTCTACCCAGCTCTGTTGAGTAAAGCATTAGATTGAGTGTTAGTTTTTTTTTGTTTTGTGGATAAAAAATTTCAGTTGAAACCAGTGCGCAGTTTAGACAGCTTGAGACCTGCATGGAGCGGGCGCTTGCGGCACGGCTCACCCTCATCCATTCCCACGAGTGATGCAACCCACTCCCCAAAACATCCACCCAATTATCTCATCCCCCCATGTCAAAAGATACCATCGAAACTAGCCAAAAAACCGACTGAGAGAGTCATTAAACATAATAAATCACTCGATAAACCACCAAAAGTCGAATCACCAGTTGTGAATGAGTACATAAACCCCATAACAATAGCAAATCCATTCGTGAATGGTGTAACAACACCCCGTAATCCATTTCGCGAGGACATATTTCAAGTTGATGATGCATCAAAAGTTACGAATGACCCGTTTGACACCAGTCAAGTGCATTTACCACCTCTCCTACCAAAAATATCAATTCAAGCCCCGAATGTTTCCACGAGTGGTAACACTCCTCCCTCGTTAAAATCCGACCTCTGCTCAACTAAAGTTAAGGTAATTCACGTGCATTTGTTTTTTATTTTACACGAGAGTTTTATTTTATTGCATCTCAAATCCTTTAAATATGTTGATACATTGAATTTGTGAAAATTATTTTGGGAATATTTCGTTAAATAATTAATTTTGCAAGAGATGTCTAGAGATTTTTGTGCGAATATTTAAGGATACCCGAGTATTTTTTACAGTTTGCACAGAATTATTATTTTTTTAATCATTCGTTGTTTATAGATAGGTAATTAAAATTATTTAAACTTTCGGAACCCTATTTTTTTAGTCACGAAATCGATTTGTTATAATTCTGAAAAAAAGATGTTTTGGTAGAAAATTTATTGTTTAGAAATTATTTAAAAAAAATGCTCGTAATTTTCAAAAAAATTTGCAATTTCCAAATTATTTCATCAATTTTTTTCGAAAAGTAAACTTTCTCATTTTTCTTCTAATTTTTAAAATGCAAATTTAGACCTGCAAAGTTTAAATAATGAAATCATTGTAAAATCTCCAAAAACTGAGGGTCAAATGCATGCCACTGAAAAAAAAATAGCCAAAGTACTTGAATATCCTTAATATATTACCATTTGCAACAGAATTTCAACATTGGATGAGAATCAATCCGTTGAATAAATTTCTGCGGCTATTTTGTACCGATTCTGTTATGAATATATTGTGCACAATGTCTCTTGATGAATTCTCATGAACTCCCCCGAGGAGATATTTTGAATCAACATCTTCTTCAATTCTGTGAAAATTATTAAAAAAATTGAATGAGATTGAGAAACGAAATGTTAAGAGATTTTTTCTACCGGGAATGAAATTCTCCACGAAAAAATTCTCTGTGAAATCAAACAACGATTGATTCTTCAAATTAATTACTTCATAAAGTTTACTAAAATTAGTTTTCAAATATTCCACCAATCATTTAGGAAAAGTCCTTCTCGCAGCCCATGAATCTGTGAAAATGTGTAACACTTCAATTTTAATCTAGGGAACATCAGAAGTGCAAGATCTAATCCGCCTAGACTCAACAAATAGTGACGACGACTTCGACCCCCTCCTCTCAAAGTCCTTCATGGACCCAAAGCAAATGACCCAGTCCCTGCACATACCCCAGATGGGGGAGGGCCTGAGCAATCCCCTGTACCCCTATTTTCTACCAAAACACAGTAGCAATGACTGCAGTCATGGCGCCAATTCCACCGAGAAACTCGGTGACTTTGATCTGCTCCAGGAGTACGGACTGGACTTTAACAAATTCAGTCTAACGAATGGTGCAGCCTCGGCGAGAAGAAGTACCACGTGCAGTCAGGATAAGGATCCCAGTGAGAGTACCGACGATGTCTTCAGCACGTCCTTCACAGCATCAACAACAAAGTCCCAGAACAACTGGACGAAATTCGATTGAAATCGATATAAAATCGGTTGAAATTGCTGAATTTCCATTGTCCCAAGCTTCACAGCCACTTCCGCTGACATATCATAATTTGTACATAAGAATAAATCCGTTGATTCGATTATTTAATTGATTATAAACCGAGAAATTATAAGAGATGAGTGAATAGGTGATAATTGTTGAGCAAACGAACAATTGAACGTTCATTTATTGTTTAAATTGCGTCAATTTTAAAAACAACACAGTGTAAATATTTTTTATAGTTGAATCAAATTGTTTGTTACCGAAGATTTTTTTGTCCCCAGTTTTAACGAGCCAATTAAAACTTAGTGATTAAATTAATTCAATTAGCTAATACGTTGATATGTATATTTTAGAGAGTATATACATATATATATTATGGATGAATTATTGGCGTGTGCCAATGTGGGCAGGATTTTACACTGAAAAATATCAACGACGAAAATTATTACGATTGCATCATGAGACCAGTGCAATTTATTATTGCCGAGTTCAATTAAATTTACAACAATAGAAAGTATTAATCGTAAATTAATGGGAAGTGATAAAGGGGGAAATACTCGAATTTATCGAACTGTTTTTTTGCTCGAGGGTAATTCTATCCGATTACGACTCATTATCTTCCAATAATTAATTTTTGGGGGAAGTGGGGAATTGAGATATGTCGATTTTAATTTGTACATTGCAAAATTTTCGTAGACACTTTGTTAGAGAAAAAAAATCTGAGTGCACACTCTTCTATCTAAAACTATACTATTTTACTCTATTTCCTCTGGAAATAGGTCTGATTATTAACGTCCTTACCTACTTTCAATTCCACGATATCTGCAAATTCTTTAAGAAAATCGACTCATCTCCTTTCACCACTTCCCTATAGTCTCGTAATACAAATTAAAATTTTTTCTAACTAATAAATACTGTAAACATGCATTGTATACCATTTACCGACAATATCTTTTATAATAGAAAACGACGCAGAACAACCAAAAGTGAAACCGAATGAATTAGCACAAGAATAAACAATAATGAAGTTTGACGAAATGTTGTATTTATTACCGACCCTCATTAATACGTAAAATAATTTTTATGGTTAAATAACGGAAGATCTATACCAGGTTGAAGTTAGATTTTGGAGAATATTTTTAAATCTAATGATTTTCCCCTGGGAAAATCCAAAATCTGACACTTTGGCCTCAGGTGAAAACAAAAATTTTTATTTTTACTTTTTCCGAATACTTTTGAGAGTTCTGGATAGCCCGTCGCTTGAATCATCGGAATCAACGTTCACTCGGCGAAAAAATTAGATTTTGCCGAAAGTTGACTTTCCCCCTGGAAAAATCCAAGATCTGACACCCGAGCCCCAGGTGAAAATGAAAATTTTTTATTTCCATACTTCTGGCGCCTCCGAGTATTTCATTGGCCGCAGAATCGTTAGTATATACAGAATCAACGATCACTCGGCGCAAAAATTCGATTTTGTCGAAAGTTGACTTTCCCCCTGAAAAAATCAAAGGTCTGACACTTTGGCCCCGGATGAAAAAAAATTATTTTTTACTTTTTTCGAATACTTTTGAGAGTTCTGGATAGCCCGTCGCTTGAATCATCGGAATCAACGTTCATTTGGCGAAAAAATTAAATTTTGCCGAAAGTCGACTTTCCCCTGGAAAAATCCGAGATCCAAGATCCTGTATAGGGGAGGTAGGGGCAAAGCGGACCCCCGGGGCAAAGCGGACCTCTTCGAAAAAAAAAAGTGTGGGGTAAAGTGGACCCTCACATAAATTATTGAATCGAGTCGCCAGAATTATTCTAATACGTTTTATAAAGTGAAATTTACTACCTTGACTAAAAAAATATGCAATGAGGGCAAGTATAAATTTGTGTGAGCTCCTGCGGATCTAATTGTGAACAAGAAATGTGAGTTTTTGATCAACAGCGATTACATTCTATCCAATCGGTAGAACAACATGACAATGACTCCTGACAAACGGAAAATTAAAATAATTTTAAAAAAACAGAGGGTCCACTTTGCCCCAACATTAATTTTTTTTTAAATTTAATGACAGATCTTAATTGCAATTCTAATGAGATTATGATCTCCACGTGAAGTGCATTGACTCATTAGAATTTAAAAAACTAAACGATTCGCTTAGAGGTTCCGCTTTGCCCCTACCTCCCCTATAGCCCTTCATACTGTCCCTCATACATAAACAAAGGCTTCATTTTACTTGCTCTTGGTAAGGAATCCTTTGGTCGTCCTGAAAACACTGCTATCATCCTCAATAATTACAATCTTTGAGTATTTTCTTTAAATTGATATCAAACAATTAAAAAAATAAATAAAATTCATGCAATTATTCAGAATAATAGCTGTGTTTTCAGGCCTAAAAATGGTCTGAGTATGAATGTCCCTACCTACTTTCAATTCTCTGACATCTGCACTGAAATTTGACCAAATGTTGTATTTCTCAACTATCGACCCATGACTCCCTGTTACCCAAATTTGAATTGTATAAACGTAAGGGCTACCGAGTTGACAGAACCGGTAGTCATGGATACGGCGCGCTATGGCCGCTGTTCAACAGTTCACCAGTGGCTGTCGTGAAGGGAGGATGGCATAAACAAATCCCGAGCGTTAACTCGTCCTTAATAAATCCTGATAAACAAAAACGAAATAGTGCAAGTGAAAGTGAGAGTCTCCACCCGTAATTAATCCAATTTCTCGATAATCTCCACCGAAGCTTCGCACTCAGGTGATTTAAAAATCGAAAAATTACCCCTGAAATTATCCCTAAAACGTCTTGACTCGTTATTTTTCATTTTTTAAACTCAATTTTCATCGTGTTTTGGCATTAATCAGCAGACGCACGTGTCTTAGTCCCAGAGAGTCGATGAATTCTGCTCTCCGCAGTATCGAACTCTGGTTTATATCCCTGAGAAACCGAGAAAATCCATATTCTTGCGTGTCGGACCCTCAGAAGATGGATCGACACGTAAGAAAATGCAAATTTTCGAAATAGTGGAACTGGTCTAGTGTCCCAGTTACTACTGGAAGCTCGGGGGATAGTAGATCGGACGATAGTGGCCATCAGTATTGTTCTTCGGAGCAAGGAACATGGTCTTTGGGTATCCAGGTGTATCTAAGGAAGTTGCTTGATCGATAGAGAATCTTTCTCGCGTGTCTGGTATTCTTGGGGTTTGTGGTCTAAGGGAATATTGAGTCATTCATGTGTCCCACATAATTTTAGGCTTTTTGGGAACATTATTTTGGGAACTATTGATATTACATTAGGACCAACTCTTTACTAATTCGTGCGACGAACGACAAAAAAGGGATGAAACATTTTCCTTCGTGATAAATAAATTAGAATAGTAAAGTCAATATCGATGAAAACTGCATCAATTTTTTAATAAATCGAAGTGAAATCCTTTGAAATTTTTAAATTGTTATCGTCTCTGACTTCACGGCCGCTTCCGGTGAGATTACATAATTTATACAAAATCGTAAAACTGTTAATTTAATGATTTTGTTGATTATAAATTGAGAAATTATGTGAAAAGAGAATAGGTGATAATTGTTGACTAAATGAATAATTGACATTCATGTTTCTCAAATAATTTCAGTTTTTACGTGAATATTCTTTTGAGAATTATTCATATTATATCAGGATCAACTCTTTATTAATTCGTGAGATGAACGAAAACAAAGGGATGAAACATTTCGCGGAGTGATGAATAAATCAGAATTGTAAAGTTAATATCAATGAACACTTCATAAATTTTTTAATAACAAATCAAAGTAAAATTCTTTGAAATTGTTAAATTTTGATCGTCTCTAGCTTCACAGCTACTTCCGGTGAGATATCATATTTCGTACAAAAGGATAAAACTATTAATTTAATGATTTCATTTATTGTAAACCAAGAAATTACACAAGAAAATAAGAGAAAAAATTGAAATTCAATGCACAGTCCACTGGTAATTTTCAGAAGAGTTACATTGAATACAATCTAGGAGGAAAAATGATAACATTTCAGATTTCACTGAAAATTCAATAAAATTCCAAATTTTTGAGCCACATTAAGACGAGAATTCCTCAGCATATTTCAATTTCCAATAAAAACATGGATATCCAGGGTCAAATTATACAATATTTTTAATTAATTAAAAAATCAACGATATTTTAACCGCAATTTTCCTGATTTCCATCAATTTTCAGGGAATAATTGAATTGACATTTACAGTTCTCATAGATTTTTTCATGAAATTTGGAATTTTCAATGACAAAATTGCTGGAAATTCGAGTGAAACTAAAACGTGATAAAAATTCCTGGAAAGTGTATAGGAAATTTCAACCAAAAATATCTAACAGTGTAATTGTTAAGCAAGCAAACAATTAACATTCACGGTTCTCATCTAATTTTCGTGTTTATATGAATATTCTTTTGAGAATTATTGATATTACCTCAACTCTAACTCTTTATCAATTCGTGAGAGAAAAAAAACAAAAGTTGATGAAAAATGTTGCCTCATGATAAGGAAATCTTAATATTATAGTCAATATCAATGAAAACTGTGTCAATGCTTCGATAACAATCGTAATAAAATTCTTTGAAATTTTTAATTTTTTTAGTCTAATAATGAAGGGGAATCCTTGAATTTATAGAACTTTTTTTTTGGTCGAGGGTAGCTCTACCTGATTACGACTCATTATCTTCCAACGAATAATTTACCTTCTGAAGTGGGCCACACGCTATGAGTCGATTTTTCGGTGAATATCTAATGAAAAAATAATTAAATAAATTCCCAACTGTAGGCGATTACGGACGAAAAAATTTAAATAGGAAAACCTATCGAATTCGTTAGAAAATTCTATTGAATATCTATTGAACTGTTCCATTAGTTTTTGGCCGATTCTATTGAAATATTCAATAGAAAATATTCAGTAGAAAAAGTCAATCGAATTCAATTTTTCTATATAACTTATTCTATTGAGATATTTTCTATAGAATTTCCTCAGCTCAAATATTCCCAGTTTTTTCGTTTGATTTTCTTGATGAGAAGAAAAGAAAAATAGAATGAAAAAAAATTAGAAAATTGGAGTCGAGCAAATTCTATAGAAAATATATGAAAAGAATAAGTTATATAGAAAAATCGAATTCTGTTGACTAAAACTACTAGAAAGTTTAATAGAAATTCAATAGAATTTTCTAACGAATTCTATAGGTTCTTCTATAAAATCTTTTCGTGCGTGATCACAGATTAAATACTCGAAGTCATCGACTTTGTCAGTCGCAACTCATAAAACATCAGTCATAATTCGCAAACCCCATCCAGAGATCGAAGTGCACAATCATCCCGTTGAGATCACAATCGAAATTTGCATCTGATGACTGTATTTTCCGTTTTTTTATTTTGTTTTTTTTTGTGTCATTGATAATAATGCGTTCACTGACCACTCGACATAATCAATGACCCACACAAATCAATTTTGGTGTCACGACCTGGTTTACCTAAAATAATAACGCGTTTGATGCGTAAGTATAGTGAAACAACGTTAAATTAGCTTCGCAGTATTCCCACTGCATCGACTCAGTCAATTCGTTCAATTCCCCCCCGAGTTGTCCACTCACATTGTCCATAGCACAGTTTAATGTTTGATTGAGGTGGCAAGTTCCGTGGGTGGGGAATTGAATTATTCACCAGTGGGCTCTAACGTCTCCTACAGTTTCCCTGACCTCTTTAACGAGGGAAAATTATTTTTGATGGAGAAGTGGAACGCTAATTGCTGTAATTTTTGGTGCATTTCGCGGGGGGGGGGATCATGACAATTCATTCCGTCCACTTTATCTCAGGCAATTTCACCGCGTATGAAAAAATTCAATAGAAAACCTAGCGAATTCTCTAGAAAATTCTATTGGAATTATATAGGAATTCTTATGGGGTTTCCATAGGATTTCTACACTGTTAAAAATTTTCGTCTGAATTTTCCGCGCCAAATTCCGGAAATTTTTATCGTGCTCAAGTTTCACTGGAATT